GGCCAAGCCCCCCCCCCTTCCCCGCATCCCTGGCAAGGGGTGGGTGGGGTGGCAGGGCGCCCACCCGGGTCGTGAAGGAGCCGAGCGCGGCCGGCGGAACCTTCCGCGCCTAGAAGCCCTGGCCCCGGAGGTTGGGAGCGCCGGGCGCGCACAAAGGGCCACGATCTGAGTCTCTCTTCCACCACCCCCCATCCCGGTGGGCTCCAGCGTCCGATCGAGGCGGGTGGCCCCGATCCCCCGAGAGTGCAAACCCCCTTCTCTCCGTGCCCCCTGCTTTCCTCCGCCGCCGCCGCCGCCTTGGTCCCCACCTACCCGGATCTACCCGTGCGCGTCCCTTCGGAGTTTCTGGAAAATGCACACCCAGCGCCTCTGGCTGGCTCGCCCGCCTCTCCCGAGATCTTCCCGAGCGAAGGTCGGGAAGGGAAAGGGGCTGGCGCTGGAGGAGGAGGAGGAGGCGATCCTTTAATGGGAAAATAAATAAAAATGGCAGTGCCGGCGGGCAGGCGGGCGGGCGGGCTTTCCTTGCTCCGATCCGTGCCAAGCGCGCAAGGCAGGAGGAGAGCGCCAGTTTTCCTCCTCAAGGTAAGAAAGAGACCGCGTGCCTCCGAAGCCGCCCTCCTTCCCGGCGCAGCTGGATCGGACCCCCCCTTCCCTCCCCTCCCCTCCCCGCCGGGCAGGCGGCCGTGGCCACAAGTGGCAGGAATGGAGGAGCAGGCGGGAGAGCCGCAGAAGGCGGGGAGGACTGGGCGCCTGGACAAAAGTGGGGGATCGAGGCCGGCCAAGGGCTTTCGAGCCTGCCCTCTTGCTCACTGCCTGGGTCGGGCTGGGATCAAAATCGTGTTTGCCAGCCATCAGGAAAGAGTAGTGGGGGGGCAACCAACTTTGCTATCCTTGGTGGAGCAGGTGTGTTTATACATTAAGGGCTTAAGAGCCAAACTCAAGAGTAGACCATGAGAAAAGAATAGGATTTCGAATCGGTGTTTGGCTCTGAGTGCTAAACCTGCGTCCAACCGGACTGAGATAGACACAGATTCTGCCCGGTGGGCAAGCAAGGTTGCTTGGCAAATGTTGACATTGTCCGAAAACTCTTAAGGACAGCCTTGGGTCTTGTTTCTCTGTTGTGCCCCCCAAGTTCTTAATTGCTTAGCAGATTAGGAGGCTGGGTGCCATGGGTGGTACATGCTAAAAGTCAAAGCACTTGTCTAAGATGAAACGGTGCCTGCTGCCATGCCAACTGGGGGTTGCAGTAGCCAAACACACCCAAAGGCATAAATGTTTTTTTTAATGAATGAACTAACCTAATTCTTGGGATGGCCCCACTAAGCGCCAAGTTGTAGGGTGATTCCGAAGAGGTACCCCCCCCATCAGCCTGTCCGCCATGCAAAAGGTTCCCATTTCAATCCCTAGGTAACTCTCAGAGATGCCAAGGTCAAAGGTTGCAAGGTCGGACTGAGAGTGCACCAGTCTCGGACCCTTGTACGGCTGCTACCAGCCAGAGAGACCATACATATCTATAAGGTTTATCAATCGGTGGTAGGGTACATGAAGGAATGTCCAGACGAGGAAGCAACCTTACTCTGGATCCTTGTTCCATCTAGCCCAATATGGCCAACACTGACTGGCAGCATCTCTTTAAGATTATGGATAGGGTTCTTTCTTAGCTGTGCCGGGGGCCTTCTGCATCCCAAGGATGCACTCTTAACACCAAGCTATGGTGTTTCTGCTAAAAAGAAAGCAAGGTTCTAATTCTTGCTTCTAAGTAACAGGTCAGTTTAAACAGGAGCAGAGGAAGCCCTGTGCTACCAGATCAAACCACTAGTCCACCAGTACTGTCTACTCCGAGTGGGACATCTTGCCAGGATTCGCAGGCAAAAGTCTTTTCTCATTCCCGAACCTTGGACTTTCTATTTAAGAAGCGTATGTTCTGCTACCAAGCTCTCACTCTTTCCCAACAATTGAGAATGGGTTTATACTAACCCAGATCATCTGGATATCTCGTGTTGCCATCTCGTTCAGCTGCACAGCAGCTCTCCAGGGTCACCCCGGTCCTCCCTGGATATCGGAAGGATTGCAATTAAGAATTTCCACCCACAAGGCTATAAACCCTACCACTGAATTATGGCCCTTGCCACAGACTAATCCTTACTGTCTCCAGGTTAAAATTAATTCATTACATGCCTCAAGTCCATTGCAATTTATGGTGAGTTTTTCCAGGATTTTGCAGGTATGGAATACAGACTCAGAAATGGTTTACTGTTCTCTCCTGGGACTATGCAGGTTTCCCAAGGACATACAGGATTGCTCTTTCTGCAGGGAGCCATGTCCTTTAGATTAATTTATGTGTCGGGAATAGTCTCCAAGTCAAAAAAACTGTGAAGAACAGCTGCTGGTCAGAACAGTCCAAGCCTGTGCCAAACTGGGATGCAATCATTGTTCCATATATAACATCTAAGTATCGGCCAGTTAGTCTGCTGTATGTCCATCAACGCACTATTGTTCAACCTTAACCTCCCACTGATTGTTTTCTTTGTAAATGGTGGATCTAATCGTCTTTGAAAACGAAGGATGAACTATTATTGATGTACAGTAGATTAATGATCTGATACCTCAAGGGAGGAGCGCCAGATGGAAGAAGGCTGGAATAGATTATACTGAGCAGGAAGGACCACAATTAGACTCCACGTAAAGCAGATTTCTGCTAGATGAACTTTCATTTCTTCCAGCTTCAGTGTTCTGTTGTTCCCTCATCCCCAAACCGCATAAGGTAGACAGTCAGAAACCTACTTTTGTTTCACCTGTGCTGGTATTTTAAGCATCCATTAACACACTTTGTGAGGCCAAGTCCAAAAATAGCCATTTCTTCTTCCATAAGTCTCTGGCCACTGCTACTATGATTAACTAAAGGTGTTAAACTCTAGCGCTCAAAAATGAGCACTGTAGTTTTAACTATTTAGGAAGAGAGCCATATCTACTTTATGTTAGTTTCATTTTCATATCTAGATGTGACCTGTTTTGATGTCTGTAACAAAAGCCCCACTTGTTGGAAGGACACCAAATTAGAGAAGGCTTTTATCTTACGTGGTGATTGGCATTCTGGATGTTGTATTTTAAACTGTGTGCTTAATATTGCATGTTATATTTCCTCCTGTTTTTCCTGTTCCTTGAGGAGGCTTATTCCTGGGCATTGAATTGAAACCTCAAGAGACTATCAGGGAGAATACCCTGGGATGAAACTCCAGAATTGCGAAAGGGACATGAAAAAAAAAGGCCTATTTCAATATGGAGCTGCCCTCTGCTTTGTCATTAATATGAGAATGTATTAGCATAGCTAGCAATGTTTAGCAATTCTAAACACACTACTAATTAGAGCAAGGGTGGGCAATGTGTCATCCTCCAAACATTGTTAACCTGCAATTCCTAGCCACCCTAATCGGTGTGCCTGAACAAGAAGAATGAGAGAAGATGACAATATTTTCAGGGACAGAGTTGTCCCTTACTTATATTGGATAACAAATTCTATTTGAACAGTAATTCTTACTTCAGGGTAAACCTGCAGAGAATCGTGCTGTTCAACTTAACTAGACTTAATCAGTCTGTTATAGTGGAGTTGTAAAGTCTTTACCATTAAGAAAAATGTTAGTTATGGAAAAGAAAGAAATAACAAGAAAAAAAGAGGGAACATTCAGTGGTCTGGAACCAAAACAGACAAATGTTAGTCATCGCTAGCATATGCCTCTACTGAGAAATCCCCAAAAAATGCTTCCTTTGGTTTTTAAATTTTTTACAAAAATATTTACACAGTACAACAGGTATGAGTCATGGTTAAGCTTATGATCTGTTTTAATTACACTTAAATGGTTTTACTGATGCACTCACTGACCCTCCATGACTCTTTGGGAATCACACATATATTATTTTTCCTGTGACACATGGAATATTTAAAACCTTTCCTCCTTGAAATAACTTCTGTCTGACATTCTGCCCATTAAGTTTTGAAAGGAAAGCTGGACAACTCTTTTAGTACCAAAACTCCATTACATCCAAGAAGGGGAGAGGAAAAAAATAGGATTTCTATTATGTCTTTATTTAATATTGATTGTATTATTGTTGTCATTGTTTATAAGCTGGCCTCAAAACAGAATGAGCAAATGTTTGGTCACATCTTAGCCAACCAGTCTTAATTTGTTTGAAAAACATGGATTATAAACAGGGCATAAAACTTAACCTATAGCAATAAGCCTAAAATTCAGGATGGAATTATTAGCAAGGCCATCATTCAAAAAGAGAGGTTACTTACCTGTAACTCTGGTTCTTCGAGTGGTCCTCTGCGAATTCACACTAATGGGTTAACTCTGCACATGCGCAGAGGCCTTGGAAGATTCTGGAGCTTAGAAAAAAACGCGCAAGGACCTCCCCCCCGGAGGCCATGTGGTACGCCCGGCCATCATTTAAAACAGACACTTTTCCAGATTCAGTGGCCTCCAGATGTGTTGGGACTCTTAACTCCTATAATTTCACTGTGCAATAACTGGCTGTGAGGTTATGGGAATTGTAGTTGAATACATCTGGAGAACACCAGGTTGAGGAAAGCTGAAACAGCGCTGAATTAAATGGACCATCCATGTGACTCCCATATAAGCAAAATCTATAGGACCTGGGGTTCAATCAGAGCTCAAACGTCACCATTTTGCCACTGATCTCCCCTAAGTCATAATACGAAGCGGGTACATTTAAAAGGACAACAGACCCAGTAGTCACACCGGTCAGCTGGCCAAACTCTCCTTCCTTGCTCAAGTGACATTTACTGTACTTGTTTGAATTAGAAAAAAAAAAGGATTTCTAATTCTGCCTCTCTGCATATAAATTAAAATTTGTAATTGTATCCAAATCACTTACCTCATCCATTCTCTCTCTCTCTCTCTTTTTGGTGACGCATGTTCTCTGTCTTGTAATACGTGAGTGTCCACCTTAGTCTTCTCATAACTTCAGTCCTCCTCCTGACTTTATCTTTGCAGTGGCTATTCACCGTTCATCACTTCTTGAGCACGCCTCATTCTCAAAGACGAGAATCTCTGTTATTCTGCTACACATTAATCTTTTGTTCTTCCACGTGTATTGAGCTTTACCTACATTTTCAGCCACTTCTCATTTCTCAGCACCCTTATTTGGACACGGCTTCTGCTTGCATCCAACCACCTGTGTATCCTATTAGAGAGAATAGTAAGTTTGTATGATAGTATACTACATCCAGCTCCTTACAATCTATTTATTTTTACTGCTGTTGTTACAAACTTCACTGTGCATATAGCCTAAATCTGAACCCTCCGGGCTAAGTTCAAAGGGGGTTGGCAACCTATAAATCCCCCAAAAGCTCAGGCTAAGGGTAGAAAATATATTTTGTCATCACCATCTATTTCATCCTCATCATTTTAGAACTGCAGAGCTGGAAGGGACCCTATGGATCATTTAATCCAGTCCCTGTCAAGTTGGGCCCGTGGGGAATCGAACTCCCAACCTCTCAGCCTATCCAGCAGGTTTCTACCTGAATATTTCACTAGGACACAGGTAAGTAAAAAAAAAAAATCATATGTGCAGGACTGATGGCTCCTCAGCTTTGAAAGGCTCTTTCTGAGGGTATCTTTGAAGTTTGTGCATCTTTCAGATGAAGGAAAGACGCTCTAATTCAAACTGGCTTTTGATGGCCAGGAAACAAAAGAGCAGAATTAACATCTTTTTAACCACCCCTTCCCTCTTTAGAAAGGCGTTATAGATTGAATGTGATAAATCCATGGCAGAGTAGCAGGATCGGTGGCATTAAAAGAATGCAACCCCCGGTCCAGAATTGTCCTTGATTCTTTTTACTGAGCTGTTTTCTAAGCTCTGGGTTTAGACAACTGGATTTAGGAATCTGTTTTGGGACTTTTAGACTCCTATTCCCAAAAAGGATGGTGGTGGAAATGTGAAGTAAAAGTGGTTTCAAATAGGTTTGGTCCTCAGTAATTTGGCATTGAGATGAGCAGCCATACAGTATCTGCCCTCAACCTCACCCTTTTAGGGGGAAACAGTTCTGCACTCCCAAAAGAAAGGCAGGGTAAAATATTGTAAATAAATAAATATTTTTTTTACAGAAACCTGAGATGGCTTAATTTCATTCCTTCATCTGCTCTTAAAGGATCAGAATGGGCTAAGCAAGGCTTCTTATTCAGGGTATACATGAAGACGCTTCTTCCGTTTCAATTATGGATTGAATTAATTTATTTGATTGATCTACCGCCCACTTAAGTATATGAGCAAATCGCTACTCTGGGCAGTGGGCAAGAGAAACGAAGAGACATAAATTGCTATAAAACATCAGTTATATAAGAATGGACTATAAGAAACTAATTAGAAACATCTCCGGGGAGATTTGTCAAAGAAAGGGGCGGAGGTGGAGGAGAAAAAAAACCCAATACCTATTAGGTTTGATTTAATCTGCTTGTGAGGATACAGGCGAGATCTGTAGGGATTAATTTTGTAGCCGCAATTCATTTGCTCCAACGGCAGCGATCTGGAAGCGCTAATGGGGTCTTCCCACCCTCAGGCCTCCTCAGTCCTGTCAGGGCTTCAGCTTTCGCCGCACAGAACAAATGGCTCCTTTCTCCTTCGGGGACAAAAAGGCGGGAAAAGTGAAGCTCCTTTGCTTTTAGAAGGAAACGTCTTTGCCTTTGAGGAGAGTAGTTTTTTGGGGGGAGGGGCTTTGTTCTGAGAGGAAAACAATTGTTTTGACAAGCTATTGTCACTAGCAATAAAAATTTTTTGGGGGGGTCCTTTTCTGCACACGAACCTCTCACCCTTTTCCGCAAAAATAAGGATTGAATTCCTGCTGAGAGAGTTTCACACACACACCCCACCCGTCTTCTGTCTTTTCTCTGAGGGAAGAGGGCAGGCGGACTGGGACCTCCCCCATAAGGATGCTTCTAAAATGTCTTGTTTGGCCACTGGAACAAAACACTTTTTTTGAGGGGGGGCAAGCCCAAAGAGAGAGACAACCCTTCCCTCCCACCACAAGGACTCTGGTCATTTGTGGAAAAGGCCTCTAGTCTCTAAGGGCTTTCTTCCCACCCTTTAATAAGGTATGCATGCAGAAAAGCAGCAACCATCTCAAAGGCTTGAGGTTCTTTAAAAGAGCAGTAATCCTAATTTCAAGGCACGAATGCCATTCCTAAATAATGCCATTCAGTGTGAGATTTTAGGATCTAATGAAGTGTCGCCCACCCTTGTTTCTGGACATCACTTCCTCCCCCCCATAACTGGTTTTATGTCCCACCCCATATGAGAGCAACCTCTTCTTTCTCCTTCGGTGGGATCCTGCTCCTGGGGGTGTCTGACAAAGGGGCGGGGGCCTCGAGGATTCAGAAGTTAACATTTGGGGTGAAGGGCCCGGCTGTGGGGATGTCTGGGGCTTCTGGGACCTAGATTGGGTCAACGGGTCCAGATCCCAAGCCAGATCAGGCCCACTTTGCTCCACCACACTGCAGAAGGGCAAAACTTTCCCAAAGATTGTTCCAGGGGAGAAAGAAAAGGGATGGAAGGCCGAAACCAAGCCAAGCCTTTCGGGAAGGTGCCCCATGATGGAAAAGCAAAGGCTGATGGCGAATAATAATAGTAAGAAGGGATTCCACGGAATCATGGCAGTTAAACCAGCAACAAAATGCTACTACTGGGGTAGTACAAGTAGTTTCATTTCGGACACAGGATGTAAATCCCAACGGAATGGTAGGCCAACACTAAAATAGACTCCAAGAATTCAATCGGTCCCAACTGAATTTAGGCTTAAGGAGTTGTGGCACATCAAGGAAAAAAATTAATAGCACACACCGTTTTCACATTAATCTGGAGGGCCTGCAAGTCTTTCAAAACTAATATATAAAAGATGCACTTTTGCAATAATTTTAATTGTAAAGCACTTTGACAGTCAATCCTCACCAATTCACATCTGCCATGATTTTTGGGACTCTTTATCGACAATGTTTCTGCACTATCCATGAAAGGGTAGTGGCCGACTTGGTGAAGTGGAATGTTCGCCACGAAAGCTTGCAATGTTGATTCTTTTAGTAGTTCAAGAAAGAGATCATCCTATCCTTGCATCTGTGTAATCTTCACAAAAAAGCAGCATATACATGTAAACACTATAGGGTAATACACACAACTACAAGGTCTCTACAGTTCTGTTTATTGAGACAAACTAATTAAAAGGCACAAACATGGGGCATATGTTTACATGACATTATAACAAACATATACATTAAAAGTGTAGGAATGTGTTCTTTTTGCTACACAGGAAGTTCCTAAGCTTTTATATATACAAAAGTTGTACAATTTGATGTCCTAAGGTACAAAAGATCATTTATAAAATTATTTTACACTAAGTTCTATTATTTTTCCCATTTTTTTAACTATGTAGTCCAAGCCCCTAGAACCATTTTCACATAATTTGGACATCCGTCTTCGGACCCAAGACGCCTGCCTCAAAAGTACGAAATATGCTGCTTTTACACGGACACAAAGGGTATAAACACAAAAACAGCAGACTCTGACCCTCTCAGGTTTGCCAGTATCCCATTAAAAATTAAAATATCAACCGTTATGGCATTGTCACCCTGATCAAAAGCCACCCCCACCTTTCCTTTCCAAGTTATTTCTTACTCCATCTTGGTTACAGGGTAAGTCTTTAAAAACAATTTAAAAAATGAGTGTGACATGATAGCCTAAAAAAAGTAACTGCTTCCCTAGATTTTCCATACTACTTTATGTACAGACAGAAGAAATAAAGAATGTGCAGCTTGGTGGTGAGTTTTTTTAAAAAATGTGACCCAAGTGGGGAAGAACAGGGATTTCTGCTTCACCAAACAGGTCAGAGAGTTGCTGGGAAATCCCCATGAACCAAGAACTATGCATTAATACAATTAACTAAAAAGTACAAATGATTTTGGGGGGGACGGGTGTCCTGCAAATATTTACAAAGTTGAGATCCGCACAACACTTGATTAAGAAGGGGGGGGGGGAAATGTGTATTAAAAAAACAAAAACAAAATAGAACACAAAACAAATAGATGCACTCTTGGCTTGTCCTGAAGGGGCATCCTAACTAGTTAGTGGTTAGAATAAAAACTGTATACCATTTTATATAAGACAAAAGAAAATCTAGTGAACAAGACCTGCTCTCATTGTCACAATATCAGCAGGTTCCGATTGAAAGAATGGGGGGCAGGCACACATCCTAACACCCCCCCGGTACCTCCACAGTCTTCCAGCTTAAAGCAATTTTTCCCGTCCTTCAAAAGCCCACCGCTTGCTCTTCAGGAAAAAAAAAAAAGAGTCCAGACGGGGGTCTGATCCGAGACTGTGCTCCTGTAGCTTTCAAATCCTCTTCCACCAGCCGCTGCTGTTTCTTTTTCCAAACATTAAAACTGTTCTCCTTTTTTTTTTTAAATACGTTGACTATGATGTTATATTCCCTTAGGGTAATATGTCTCGTAGTATTTACATCTTCAAATATCAGGTCACAATCCCCATTGTTATTTAGTAGTTAGAACGATAAAAGTTACTATATGCTTTGCATATCAGAGCTGGTATCACTTTTCCCATAGGGAATTTGGCCTGAAATCATCATATTCCCAAAAGGTGAAAATGCATAATTACTCAAAATGCATATAAAAAATAAAATAGGACCATGAAATGCATTTATTTAAAAATAAAACACGAACACTATAATTCTACTTTTCTGAATCAGATGGATACAGCTGGCAAATGAAAGTGATTCATCTCCACAATGTGATACAGAGCTGCGTTTTGAGTCTTCTAGTGTTTGAATTAAAACCATTCCTTTGCCTGCAATTCCCAGGGTATTTCATAATGCTGAATTTAATACATGTATGTTTATGGGTCTCTGTATAGAGCTCTAACCTGCTCCTTTTGACATCACTGCCAGCTAACAGGAAACTAAGTGACCCAGTGAAAAAAAACGACAGCCAGCTAACTAACAGGGACACTTTGGATAGCTTTTTTTAAAAAATAATTTTTTTAGACTGGCGCACGATTCTTGCCCCAGCTGAAATTAGTCCTGGTTTCATTACTGTTAACTAAAAATAAACAAAACGAAAACAACGAACCAAAAATATATATATATAACTGCTGGTAAGGACCTGCTTTTCATTCCTTTTTCTTTTTTTCTTTTAATACTGCCATGAGGTTTTCTGTTTTGCTTTGTTTCTACCAAGGGGGAGAGGTTGGCAAGGCCTGGGGAAGGAAGGGCATGCTCTCCACAGGTCTCATTGCAATATTTAATGGGCCAGCTAACGTCATTGGTGTCGGGAGGTTCATGGGAGAAGTTATGGTGACTGGATGTGCTATGTTCACTGGAGCGGTTACTGGAGTTGGTAAATTGACAGGGGTGGTGAGCGTTAACGGAGAGGTCATAGACAACGGACTGGTGATAGTGACCGGATGGCCAAGGCTCATTGGACTGGAGATGTTAACTGCGCTGGAGACATTGACGGGACTTCTCATATTCATCGCAGCAGCCACTGTGACTGGGTTGGTGATTGTCCCGGATGCCACTGAGGAGGTGATATTGAAGGGAGTAGAGAGAGTCACCGGTGTAGTGGCTGAAGTAGAGGTCTGGCATAAGTTAGCAGCTTCTGGAAAAAAACACAACAAGATAAAGAGAGACCAAAGTTGTTGCTATTTTTCTTAAAAATGCACAACAGAAGATTTTGAACCACTGCTAGGCCAGGTCGTAAATTAAATTTAAAGCTGAAACATGGAAGTGCCTTCTTGCACTCTTGTCTATCCAGCCCTCCTCACCTCTATGCATCCTGTCCCACTACAAGACATGGCCCCTTAGACCTCTAGGCTTTCTGCTACCAGTTTACTCATGAGCAACAAAAAAGTTCTGACAACACCACAGCAGCTCAACTAATAGCTGCTGAGAGTCTGCAGACTGTCAAGTTATTAACTGGCCTATGCGTCTCTCAGATTTCCTACTAAAGTGCTAAAACTACTGATTTTTATTTTTATTTTTTTCAAGAATAGCTATGATTCAACATATTTCTCTCTACAGCAATAAGTACTCCCAACAGCATCTACTCAGACATTCAGTCATTAAATACTATAATTCTACAACCTATGGTAATTTAAATCATGCAATTCATCTGAATTTAAGACATTTCCTGGAAGGGTTTGGTTTTTTTAGTATAAAAGGGGGATTTGTTCATAAAAACAGCACAGTATTAGCAGAAAATCCTCTCATGAGGAACATTATAAGTAGAGGAGAGTGTACATACCGAATGGTACGTACTCTATAGCCTTCTCAAAGTTGTACTGACATTCTGTGAAGGTTTTAAAAAGTCATTATTAGGGACCAATACACAAAGCTGGTTTCACTATTTACCTGCTTATTTCATTCTTAAGATTTAAACTTCACTACAATTGGTGGCATAACTGAGTAAAGGCACTACAACACCCCAGACAGTAAGATGCGTGCAACACAATCCATTGGTTGTCACAGCTTCCACAGTGGCTCTGGAATCTGAAACAAGGGTTTGGCTTATCCCATATGCCAACAGGATCCTGGGGCTACTCGTGAGGGAGAGAGTCTGGAAAGGCTATGTATCAGATGTAGAGACACCTCTAAGAAATCAGCACCACCTGCTGGCTAGCTATAGAATCTCTCCCGTGCTCACTAATAGATTTTTTAAAAAATTAGGGGCTGCTGTCTCCCATTGAGTAAAATGATCAGCAGCTGCTGGAAGCCTCAACCTAATCAAAATTCAGGCATGAAGCCAAGACATGAAGCCACTCATATGTCCCCTTCTAGCACATCTGACTATATAGCCAGACTCCCTTTTATCAGGCACACATTCCACCAGATATTGACATGAAGCCTTAACTATGCAATACCATTATTACAGCTCATGTGGACAGGCTATGTCTGCGCAAACAAAAGGTGTACCTCACCCTGTACAACTAGAAAGGGCGGGCAATTCAGAGATGACTGCCCAGAGCAGCAAAGGCAAGAGGCAAATAGCACTATCGTCGCTACACGCAAGCACTTCCCAGGGTCTTATTTTCAGTGCAAGCTCCTATACTACCGTTTTCAAGTCCAGAGAATGCTGCCTCTGGACCCCGGGAAGTGGGGAAACGTATGCTTTGAAGGAGGAAATGAAAAGAGCCGAGAGTCCAGACGTACGATACAAGCTATATAAACGTATCTGACCCTACCTTGCTTGACTGAAGTTGGCCTCAGAGTCTGTTGACTTTCTGCAATCAAAATTGGGAGGTGGAGGAAAGGGGTTGCAATTAAGCCATTCAATGACACATTTCTCTAGTTTTCCTCTATTAGCTTGTAAGAAATAAACAGGCTGAATCTGCACATGAGCGTAAAACCGGCAGGTCTATTTTTAACTTTTCAAACCAAAGTCAGCTCCTGCGTATTCCCAATAATGTGAGCTATGGGTCAACCTCTGGGAGTCTAGCTAACTACTTCCTATTCCAACCAACAACCAAGGCTTCAGGGCAGAGTTTTTTCTAAACCAAGATCTTTCTAAACTGAAGATGCCAGGGACTGAATCGGCCATCTTCTGCTTGCACAGCACAGTAGGTTCCACTAACTCAACACGGTTTGATCTGGTACCATGTACCAGGTTCCTTGGGATCCCTGACATGCATATGGTTGAGCACAATAACCAATGAGAAGCAGGTCTCAGCAATGAACCTGCAACATCCTGGCTTGCATTATCAGGGAAAAGGAGAGATAGCTGATGCCCTGGAGCACCAAGTCGCACTGCTGGTTAGCTGGACTTGATCCCTAGCTGCAGGACAATCGGGCCAGAGAGAGGAGTGACATGCAGGTTTCCTGGAACCAACATCCTGCCTTGTGTCCCAGGAAGCCAGAACAGGAATGGAAATTAGATCATTTGCTATTTCTTCTTTGCCTACTTGCGTGTCTGCCTTTTTGGTAGCAAATCTCGCATCTCAATAGGGTGCAACTCCTATACCTTTCATGTGATTCGGAATCTACTGAAGCTAAAGGCTGCATGTTCTAGTTTCTGCTCTCCCTGTCCGTTTTCCTACTCTTCTCCTCAGGCTTTTCCACTTCAATTACCAGCCAAAATCTTTTCACCAGCTCTTCTTCTTGATGCCCCTTTATCTTGCACTTCAAGGAGGTGCACAGAGACTGTTTGTCTTGAATTACTGAGAAAACCCAACAGAGCCCCTTTTGCACTAGCCTGAATTTAGACTTGCCTTGAAGAACAGCCAATGGGCTTTGATTATTGTCTCAAACAAGTGGCCACCTGTGGAATCGCAATACCCAGCTTCCACTTATGTGGCAGCTCTCTCCTTTTCTTCCTGTTATAAGAGCTCCTCAACTCATGAGGAATGCTTCAAAGGGACTCTGTTGACCTCCGTCTCTAAAACTCCCCCCTTATTTTTTTTTTACACATTTCTCTTCCAATTGTGATAAACGAGCCTTCAGAAACTGAGGCACTTGCATCCACCACAAGCACCAGAAAAAAAAGGGGGGAACAAATGGCAACAAGGATAGCTGCCGGGTTTGGGCAAATCTGACAAAATCACTGAGCATCTGGGTTTCGACTCACTGCACTTGGAAAAGGAAGGAAAACGTTAGCGCTTGAAGAAAACTCTGCCTTAGAATACGCGGGTATCATGGGCTTAAGCCTGTTAGATGTGGAGTGGGGGAGACGAAACTTTAAATCCACATTTAGCCATAGAACTAAGTGAATGACTTCAGGCTAGCTGCACTCCCAAATTCTGAAGCAAAAACATGCTGCTCTGGGTGGGGATTACAGATCTCAGGCTGCTCTGTGCAACAGACATACAATGCGAGAATGAAAACCAGCGTCTGATGCAGGATTTAGCATCTAAAGCATCTTTACCTTTCATAAAGGGAACCTGGGGCAGAGAAACCAGAGTCTGCCTGAGGCTTCTTTCTACTGGTGGAAAATCAACTAGTACCATACCCTAATTCCATTTTTCTCCTCTCAAATTCAAAAGATTTCCATGCTAAAAGCAGACTCCATGCGGAGTCCACATGGTTAAAAGCCCACACAGTTAATTCAAACTTGCAGCATACGGATCTCCTTTGCATACTTTATTTAAAGAATGCAAACACAAAGAATTGGAGACCAACATTATATTATCTGCAGGTTTCTCTCTTCAGTAATTTAAAAAATGAAGTAGAGTTGAGGAGAAATGGTGGAAAAACACTGAGGACTGAAACTGACACATCAACATGGACCGCTAAACCAAAGTGATGGAGGCTGTTGTGTGGCTTCCAGTCCAACGGTGAAAGTGAAGCATTCTATTTGTCCCTCATTACTAACACAAAGAGAATGATGTTAATTCTGCATCTGTATATTAGATGCCTTCATAACAGTAACTGCAATAAAATATTTACAGATCTCACCATAACCCAAAAGCTGGAAAGGGCAAGTATACCTTTGGCTCACAGAAATTTGTAAAAAACATGTATTTTTATCCAGGAGAATAAATAGCAGCTATTAGAGACCAAATGCTTGGGGGGGGGGAGAGGTTGGACTCTTGTGATGAGTAAGTACTACACCATTAGCCAAAGGTAACCAACATGTATGTCCTTTACAAAAAATCATGTGCTGACTTATGGCAGCCCTTTTCAGGGTTTTCAAGGTACAGAACACTCAGAAGGACATGTATTTTTATCCAGGAGAATAAATAGCAGCTATTAGAGACCAAATGCTTGGGGGGGGGGAGAGGTTGGACTCTTGTGATGAGTAAGTACTACACCATTAGCCAAAGGTAACCAACATGTATGTCCTTTACAAAAAATCATGTGCTGACTTATGGCAGCCCTTTTCAGGGTTTTCAAGGTACAGAATACTCAGAAGGTGTTTTCCATTCCCTTCTTCTGGGGGTGTCTTGGGGCTGTGCAGCTTGCCCAAGGCCACCCAGGCTGGTTCTGCTCATAGGAGGAACAGTGGGGGATCAAACTTCCAACTTTGGGCTCTCCAGCCACATAACTTACTCACCGAGATACACACACACACACACACACGCCACACAGGCTGGCTCTGCTCATAGGAGGAACACGTGCTTGGCACGCGCACGCACACACACACACACACACACACAGAGTGAGCATCTTTTGGTTTGTAAATATACACAAATACAAACAGCAATAATTAACAAAAATATTAAGCCAAATTAATACAAGCAGAAAGCAGGAGACATGAACAGAAGGGACGTGGGATACAGCTGGCAAGGTCAAGACACTAAGAAGGTCAATTGCCTCTGAGCGATGGTAAAATAATTCTGGAGTAAATCTGAAACTATTTATTATACCAGTTTGACTTCCAAAGGTACTGAAAATTCTCCATCAGAGAATTCTTTTTGAATAACCCTAAAAACTGGTTATGTAATAATGCCCTTACTGTAAACAAAAAACAATATGATTAAAAATAACTTACAGTTGAAAAACAAAGACCAAAATCTAATTAGGATTTTATGCAAGTGTAAGAGGAATCGTGTAAAACACCAGTGAATTGTGGCTGACCATGTAAGAGCATGACAGGGAGCACAATTGGTGGAAAGCCTGGCCTAAGCAGTTGTCCATGGCAACTTATGTGACTCTTCTTGTGCACACATAAAATCCCAGTGTGGGAGTTTTGGACAAAGCAATCATTCGGTCCCCTCAACAAATTAGGAAATTAGGAGTGGAACAGTATCTTTATTGGTCTCAGAAGGTATGTAATCAAGTATTTCCTGCTGTTTTCTGCCTGATGCTCAAACTGACATTGACAATTTGCTTTTATTTAAGCTTATACTAATTTATGAGGGCCTGAATTAAGTTTCAAGGGCAAGTCTGACTGGTCATGACAGTCAATGTGAGATGACCATGGGACAGCTGCCATCATACATGTATCTAGTATGAATTTTGCTCTGTGCCAGGATGTGTGTCACCTTTATACCAGCATTAACTGCAAAATTCCAAGGTCATGGATCTTTACCTTTCTTCCTTGCTTTGACAGCTTCTTCCCATAATCTCAGGGTCTCTACCTGCTTTCCAGGCCAGTTTGTGACATGCTGTTGAGGTTGTTGCTGCTGCTGCTGTTGCTGCTGCTGCTGCTGTTGTTGCTGCTGCTGCTTCTGATTGTTGCTTTCTTCATTCATGCATGCTTTCCAGCCAATTTTTTTTTTGAAAAAAAGGAGAAACACATATACATACAGAGGCAAATTAGACAATTTTCCCCATCAAAAGGAAGCACTCTGCCAAGTCAGAAAACCTGTTCATAGAGGCTCCTGAAAAAAAATACAGGTTGGTTTAAGGCAAAGTTGTCTTACCATTTTCTCAACTTATTCCTTCACGGCAATTTCTGTTAGTATTAAAACAGCGTTTGAAAGGAATGCACAAAATACACTTCTAATGATGATAGATGAAAGAGATCAAAAGCTCTTCGTTTTTGTTACTGCCCAGGTCATCCTTCCCTAAGCTGGACCGGACTTTTCATTATCACCAGCTAGCACGACAGATTGTCTGTAAGGACACCCCAGGAATCTGTGTGAACTTTCACTGCTGGAAGAACAGTAGCTTGGAATCTTGCCTGACCCTGAGAATGAACTCTGAACTAGTGAAAAAGAACTGTCGTGTTCCATGCTGCCTGAAGTCAGTGCCAAAAGCAGTCCAGGTGGGCCCTTTTGCTAGGCAAGAAAATAAGGACACCAGGAATAGATGTTTGCACGTACCTTTCAACTGCAACTCCTCTATCAGCCCTAGACAGCACATGCAACAGTGAGGGCAGGAAAGAAGGTGCCGTGCAACAGCGCTCCCTCAAGCCCTGCCATAGAGGGAGTTCAGAGGGAGAGGAGAGAACCCTGAGGGCCCAAGACATACTTGGCATTCCTATAGACCAGTGTGGTTTACCAACCAAGGGTATATATACACACTCAGGCTTCTCAGTAGGCTAAGGAATAATCATCCTACCAAGAGGAGAAATGCCACATGATCTTGAGTGTGCAAGGATACAGGTTCTTGCTGTATTAAAGTATGGTTCACCGAGTCAAGCATTATTTGCAATAATCCCAGGTGGTGTTTAACTGCTCAACAGAAATCAGTCGGTGGAGAGTCTGGCTTAAATTCTAGAAGGCTCGGTGTCGTGTTTGTATCAGTCCTACATCCATTTCCATGAGAAAGGAATCATATACACACCCATCCCCGCACCGCGTGACTCGGGAGGTACAGAAAAAGACCAAAACGCACACAATGTTAAGAAACACAATCTTTCTTTCACCCATTGTTTGGACAGCTAAGCTAAATCTTAAAACACACACACACACAAACACGGCCATTTAAGCCTAAATGTGAATCAAACTGAATTCAATTTATTATGGTCAAAGACTAGAACCAGAAAGACTCTGCTTTTGAAATGCCTGTAAAAAAAAGAAGAGGTGGAGCTGTCACATTAAGTCTACAGCTGACGAGCACTGAGGCAAATATAACCTGCCATTCTCACTCATTACAAACAGGACATATTTTAATTTTGGTTAATGTTAGAGAACGGTGTCTCTGTGTTGTTCCTTAGGCTCAGCTTCCAGCACTGAGGCCACGAGTACTCCAATGACCGTGGATCCCTTTACTCCATGAAGGAGGGGTTATTATGTGTCTTTGGACTCTTGAAAATGGGTGTAAAAACAAACATTGTATAGATTTTCCCAGTGAAAGGGAGTTCAGTCAAGCAGCCACTCCAGGTACACAGCCCCTTCCAACAAGCTATAGAAGACAGATTTACCATAGTGGCATGTACAACTCTTAAGATTTACCGTGGTGCAAGCTCAAGAGATTAAACATGCACAGCTAACAGCCATCTACTCCACACTGATCACAGCAATGGCTCAAAGAATGAAGGGAACCCACGTGTACTGACAGGCTGCATTGCAGTATAGATAACTTAGGGAGGGATGGGCAGAGTTCACACCCATAATTTGCTGAGCTACAGGTGACTGGAAAATGGTACCTCTGCTATCACGGCTTGTATTTAGCATCATCCAATGAAAAACTGAGGGCCAGGTATTCAGAGAAAGGAAAGGTCACCAGTGCATCAAACGTTTACAGACTAACACAGGCTAAAAGATATCCAGTTTAAATAACTGCTACTCACAAGCAGGGAGGTGTAGATTTTCTTGCTTGAAAAATCCAAATTCTGCAAATTAAGAAGAACAAAGATGAAACAACCTTGCGTAATTTACTCAACACAATTAATTTCTATCAGAAAAGCTTGGAGAATTCTTTGGCACAAATAAGGAAGGGAATAGGTGACAGACAGGCAAGGGAAGAAGGGGCAGACACAGAAGGCTCATTTTGCTGGGGCAATGCAGAAGATCTTATGTAGTAGATACAGGGTTGTTTTAGACAAAGGGAAATGTGGTCCAAATCCCTGCTAAGCCACAAAACTCAGCAACTAACTATTTCAGTCTAATGTAACCTCACTGAATGGTTGAAGATAAAACATATTTATTGATACATATTTATTTCTTATTGATACATAAGAAATATATTTGGAACCAATTCATTTGAAGCCTCTGGCACAGATCAGGCACAACGTGGATAACGTATTCAGAAACTTTGATCAAAAATATTCTTGCACCCTGTCTTGTTCCCCCAATATTTAAGCATATAAAGGAACATACTAGTGTTTACATTTTTATTCAAACTATAACCTGCATATTTTAAGTGAGCTCCACAAATAAGCCTACAGAAAAAGCTTTCACTTGCCACATCTGCAAGCCATACCTGATCTACAAATGCACTAAAATACACTAAGCTTGTACCATTTTAGACTGCAGGTGGGAGAATTCCATTTTTGGGTGCTCACTAATTTCAGACATAATCTGAATATATGATAACTCCTCCTAGCACATCAGAGGGAAGGCTCTACTAGAGCTGGCTCCTTGTTGCGCTAGATTTCTTCTTGCAAGGTTGTTGCTTTTAATATAAAATACAGCATTCAAAAATGGCATCCCTCACCTGCAGACTGAAGTGTTACAGCCCATCCTACCAGCTCAGATCTCTACCATCTAATCTGGTAGCATATGTGAGCCCCATCTCCTCTATAAGAAGAATTTTCTGTTATAAAACTTCTGTCTGGTTGCCTAGGTGCAATCTTATTTGTCACAACTAATTTACTAGGTAGCCATTTTTGAACCTTTGCATATTCTGTCACTGTAATTGAGGTCTATCCTCCAACTCACGATGAACACGTGCATCCATAAAGATTTCTCATATCACGTGCCTAAAATATGCTACAAAAAGCTGAAAGGCATTTTGGAAGTGCTCTGAGCTCTCCTGAAAATCCCTGATTCAGTATAAGCAAAAGATATCTGGACGTTTTTGCAACACCAAGTCAGATTTATCTTCAATGCCTTAAAAAACAACAAACCCACAACACGATGAAGGCTTGTTTCTTAAACACTTGTTTAGTCATCAGCTCCAGCGTGCCAAGAACAGCAATTCAAAGCTAACTGAGATCAATGGGATGCTTTCTACCAACTTCAAAGGTCTTTGGACAAGGCCCTTCATCCTATGCTCACTCGGCTGGCAAGCTTTCAGATCTTCCGCTGTAAGCAGAAAAATCTGAAAGCCTTCAAATCAATAAAAAGATGCCTATCCTCACAGGTTTATTTTGTTAAGTTTTTCCTCCGCTGCGATTCCCTGTCTTGCTTGAGCTAAATTGTGTCTTTTAAATAACCACATCAGTTGTAACTTAATGATGGTTCCCCCATCACCAAAAAAAAGTCTAAAAGTCTCAAAAAAGAAACGTATCCACCTACTTTTGTTGATGCCTTGTTTACAGGTATTACAGTTGATACTTTGGCTCTGCCCATGAGTCTTTAAGTGACTTGTAATATACGCTGCACTCAGAAGTTTACCACAGATATTGCATGACACTTTTCCTTCATGGCGCACCATATGTGTCCTCAGTCTGTCTTTGGTGGCAAAGGCAGCTGTACAAGTCTGTGCAGAAAGAAACACAACGCTTAAGACAGGCATCCTTACTCTGTAGCATAATACGTCTTTTTATTATTAAAACAGAGCATGTATACGTTTACTTTTAAAAGAAACATTTAGCTGTCAACACAATTCCTTAAATCCCACAAAACAGCCCCATGGACAAAATGAATGGGATTCCACTGCAGACCCCTTTCAGTTTGTGTAACCGAAACACAAGTTTCCCAACCTGAAAGAATACAGTGAAGACCTCCTGTCTATAGAAAATCAATACAAATGGGTATTGTTCCCAGAGCGGTCACACTCCAATCAGAATACAGATCTAAACGGGGTTAATATGCAATTTTACAACTCGAAAGTATTATGATTTGCATCTAACCTGCACCACTTCAAAAGATAAGAGCATGTTTGTGACGGAAAGATGACTTAATATTCCACTCAACAAAACTTCCACACCCTCCCGGTCTTTTGTTTGTAGGGTGCAAGTGGACTCCTCTCAATTCCATTCAGCCCAGAACTTTTTTGGACTAGAATGTTAATACTTTTGGAATTCTAGTCTGAAATGTAACCTTGCTGAGCTCTGTCACTTTACTCCCATATCTGCAGCCTGAAAGATCATTCAGGTGGGTGGTTTCACTCCTACACTGGGTTTAAGATGGCTAGCACTGCCTCATAATTCTTTCTGATCCCTCCCTGCCAGGACCCACCCATTTATAGCTGAATAAATCATAATTTGCCTGTGAAAATGGAGCAGACAAATTTCCACATTTTTGAGAATTATGCAAATAGGGTGTCATATTTACTTTTCCAACCTGCTTTAAATTAATGTTAGCTGTAATCCAGAGAATGAATAGCTCTCTCAGAAATATTCTATGGGGTTTACATTTCAAAATATCTGGGAGTTTTAAAAATCTACACAAGAACCTGTTCCTTATTGTGCTTTACTCACCCCTCTTTAACAACGAAATCATGCCGGTTCTTTTTTCCTTATCTGCCTTTCATTTCAAATTTCCCTCTCCTATCGCTTTTTTAAAACACACCACACTCGCCATGCTTTTTAGAATACAATTAGCGAACCCGATAAGCAAACCAGTAGCTGTTTAAGATAACAGCAAACTGTTTAATGTGCAAGAGACTGAACTTAAGAGATCAGTGACTTGAATGGACTCTTTAATGGAGATTTAGTACTATCAACTGTGTGGAAGAAAAGGAGGGAAAGAAATTCTTTTATTATGAAAAAATGGCAAAAACCTTTGAATAAACAGTAAAAATGTATGTATGTACGTATAAATGCATTTTCTGGAGCTGAATACAGACAGAAGTGGGACAAAGTTTTGAAAGCTAAGAGAATCTCACATATCAAGCTGACATGGATTTATAAACACGAGGAACATGCACAGGTGGGGTAGATTTTCTGATAAAACTGTTCATGATTTCTGCCAAATTCAGCAGAACTTGGTTAAAGGAAAGTCAGACAAAAATTGAAAAAGAAAAAAAAGGATGAAGAGTCATTTCTTAGAATTCAATGTACTTTTTGGCCATAGTGAGTCACCTGGAACAAGGTAAGACACATGTGGATAAAGCTGAACAGAAGAAGAGACTCAAATGTTCAAACGGTCCAAGGTATTCTGCTTGCCTTTAAGTTCACTCTCGTAAACACGTTGATAAGTTGTTAGCCAACAGGGGGAAAAAGAGAACCAATGAACTGCCAGTGCTTTCAGAACGTCTGCCATTTGTGGTACACTGACAATTTGGGAGGAGAAACAAAGAGAACCCACCCCTCTTCAGTTTATTAAAGCTTGCCTGTTCCCAATCCTCACTACAAAGGTGATTCTTACGTGCAGCCATGTCTTTCTATTTTTGTCTTTACAGGCTAGTTTTCCCCATTCTCCACTCCAGGCAGGGGGCGGGAGGACAAGTCTCCCTGCCTGGCTGCTGAGTGGCCAGAAGAATATCCCCATCTCTAGTGTGCATCTGCACGCACACAACTCTGCCCTCCTCCACGCAGGACTCCTCTTCGTCCGCACGCGCACAGCAAACAATTTTCAGCCCCTTAGGTTCCTGGTTGCAACAGAAACCTGCATGGGGGGCAGTCGCATTGCGCATGTGAGGGGCAGAGACCCACCCAACGGGGCTGAAAATTAGAGGGAACGTTCCATAAAGGTAAGACGCCTGTCCTCTGGTGATCTGTATAACAAATCATCCTCCTCCAGAAGTGGAAGGAGATAAGAAACAACCTTGTTTGATTCCTTAAAACATGTTGGTGCAACAAAATGCATCCACAATTTCAGCCTGAGAAAAGACCTATAAGCAGAATCTGTCTGTGGACTCCAGTTCAAGGAAATCCCCCTGTTCTGCTGTATGCTCTTCCACCTACCTACTCTTTCTGAAGCCTTATGGTGTGTTCTGAATCCTGGCCACCGCAGCCCCATGGAAATAAGGCTGAGGCCTGCTCAAAGAAAGTTGGAACCCTACTAGTGTAAGACTCCACAGGAGTTTCCAAGCATCCCAAACAAACAAAGGTGGGGGAAGAGCTCAGTTTTGTCCTCAGGCTCCAATTCTTCCAATTCAAGAAGCCCCTAAAATTTCTGACTCCAAATTCTTGCACGAAGCACTTCGGCCAATAGCCCAGCAACTTAAGCTCTACAGACCACCAAAACTCTTACTTGGCATTTGAAGGGCCTCTCTGTGGAGTGGACATGTTTGACATGACAGCTTAAGTGATCAGGTCTGTGAAAGAGAGAAGAGGGGGGACACCAGGAAACACATTGTTACACAAATACAACACTGATTGCCAGTGCAACCCCCATATCCTAAAGAACTAAAGAGGCAGGATAAATCCACAGTTCCCAAACTAGAAGAAACCTCATTACACCCCACCACCACCACCACCAAAGCTGCCATTAAAGCCAGCTGCCGGCAAGTCCGGGTGTATTCTGTCTACTTTTGAACTGGCACATGTTCTGTTCTCAAAACACATATGATAGCTATTTTTATGCCTCTTTAGTTGGCGTAATAAAGATATCACCATAATATGAATTATGGTATCCATTTATTTAGGACTGGAGTCCACCCAAACAGAACAGAGGTTCTCTGTTTTCTACAGCATTTCCCTGCCCTTCCCGCTATTCACTAATGGGGATGGATGGATTGCTGAGTGTTCTATAAACATCCCCACTCATGTTCCTTGTCTTCTGCAAAATCCAAAACAAGACATTTGGTTTAAATTCACAAGGATTTCTTATTCCCTAGCAAAATCTGGATTTAGCTTTAACCATATATCTAATTAAAAGTGCATACATCTAACCCTCTCCCCCTCCCCAACCCCTTCC